GTGTGAGATTTAGCTCTGCCGCGGACCCTTTGCTGAGGGGCAGCAAACCAGGGGGCTGGTTACAAGAGAGGGGTGGTAATTATAGGTGGTGGGGAAGGGGAGGTGTTTGCACATGGCAAACAGCAAAAGCCGGCTTCGGAGCTGGGTGTCCCCCCTGCTGTCTCTGAGGTTAGTTAAGCTCAAGGTCACACGGCTGGCGGCAGGGGAACCTGGATCCCCAGATCTGGAGTCAGACACTGAGCGGGCCTGACCTGAAAGCTGAGCAGGTCGAGGACGCGGGGTTCCCGGAGAAGCTCCCCCAAATTCTCGGGGCTATCCCGGCGGCACTGCCACCCCCCTCCATCCTCCTTCTGGGCGCTGAGGCAGGGCTGGCCGAGTCCCCTCTGCCCTCCTAGACTCTGCTTTCTGCAGGGCGGACAGCCTCAGCCTCGAGCCCCTTCTGGAAGCTAGATGGGAGGGAGGTGGGGGGTCCTCGCAAAGGAATGCCCTTCCTTGGGCCTGACCTTGTGCCCACCCCAGGCCCCGAGCAACTGCCTGCCGTTTGCCCAGGTCTGCGTCCCCGGAAGCCTCACTGGGCGCCCTCCACGGAAGCTCTCGTGCCACCTCAACCAGCCCCTGGCCCAGCCCACGCCCGGGGCTCTGCCTCAGTCAGGCACCACGGCCTCCATCCCTCTCTTGGGGGCCTGCCAGGGGTCCCACGGCCACAGCAGGTGGCGGGGTGCTGAGGTTGGGCCTCTGGGCTGGAGGGAAGGCGGCTCTCTGGGCAGGCTGGGCAGACACAGCTCTGATCTGGCCCTGGGCCCATTGCCTGTCACCCCAGGTCCCTTCAAACATTAGGCCATTGTTCGAGGCCACAAACGGGTGGCGCTGCGGCCCTGGGGCTGGGGAACAAAAACCTGTTTGGCGAGGCTCTGCTCCACCCCTGCCATTTCAGGAATTTAACCGGGATCCTGGCTGGCTTCAGCAGAAGCAATGAGCCCAGGCCTAGAAGGGGCACAGAGAGCAGGAGAACCTCAGTCCATCCCACGAGCCCACCAGGAGCCACTGGAGCTCCTGTGCCAGGAGACAGGTAGCAGGTCAAAGCGATGCCCACCGGTGGTGAGGGGTGGGCACACCTGCCCAGCCCTGGCCTCCGTTATCCCCTCTGTGACAGGGGGGCTGAGTGACCTCCTGACCTCAGGCTCAAGCTGAGAGCGGAGAGCCAACAATGGTCAGGTGACAGCAAGAGGCTGCAGCCCGGCCTTGTGACTGCGGGTAGCTGTCCCAAATGAAGATGAAGGTGAAGTGTGGGACTGGGCCCACAGACTCCTGGGGAGGTGAGTGTTCCTGGTGGCAGGAAGAACCAGTGCAAAGGCCCTGGGGCAGGAACAAGTCTGACCTGCATGAGAAGCAGCAAGCTTCCAGTGTGGCTGCAGCAGGGACCAAGTTACTGCAGCAGGTGGGAGAGCAGCAGGAGGGATAGCCAGAGGGGATGGAGGAGGCAGGAGGAGGAGGCCTGAGTGACAGCAGTGGGGGGGCGGCAGGGAGGATTTTGAGCATAGGAGTGACATGACCTGAGGCGTGTGTGTGTGTGTGTGTGTGTGTGTGTGTGTGTGTTTAAAATATATATTTTATTGATATTTTACAGAGAGTAAGGGAGAGGGAAGAGAGCTAGAAATATTGACGAGAGAGAGAGAGATATCGATCAGCTGCCTCCTGCACAGAGACATCGATCAGCTGCCTCCTACACAGAGACATCGATCAGCTGCCTCCTACTGGGATGTGCCCACAACCAAGGTACATGCCCTTGACCGGAATCGAACCTGGAACCTTTCAGTCCACAGGCCGACGCTCTATCCACTGAGCCAAACCGGTTTCGGCTGAGGTGTGTTTTTAAATGGTCATTCCTCCCACTGCTTTGGAATGGACCACAGAGGACAAGGGCAGACGCAGGACACCCGCCAGGAGGCCAGAATCCCGGTGAGAGGAGAAGGGCTGGCCAGGGGCAGCAGCAGGGGAGTTGGCGAGGTGTGGACTGTTCTAAGGTGGCGCTGCAGAGTGTGCTGAGGAGTTGGGTGGAGTGGTGTGAAGGAGAAAGGTGAAATCTACACTAACGCCAGGCCCGGCTGGCGTGGCTCAGTGGTTGAGCGCTGCCCTATGAACCAGGAGGCCACGGTTTGATTCCCGGTCAGGGCACATGCCCGGTTGTGGGCTCGATTCCCAGTTGGGGGCGTGCAGGAGGCAGCCAGTCCACAATTCTCTCTCATCATGGATGTTTCTTTTTTCTACCTCTTTATCCCTCTTCCTTGCTCTCTGAAACCAATAAAAATATATTTTTAAAGATAAATGAATAAAATAAAATAATGCCACGCGCCTCAGCTGACCTCAGCCCTGCTCACACACAGCAGCAGTACACGTGGGACGGCCTTAGGAGTGAGAGGACGTGCCAGTTTCTAGAAAAGCCAGCAGCGGGAGCCCCCCACCCCCACCCCCGCCACCGAGGAAGTCAGCAGGCGGCCTGGATCAAAGCCCAGGGCTCAGGCCTGCTGCCCGCCTCCCCCACCCACCAAGGCCAGGCGGCCGCAGGCCTCACCTTACACGCAAGAGGGAAAGGGACACGGCCCCCTCCCCTCTCCCTGCCCCCATGAACGCTCAGCGCCCCTGCAGCAGCAGCAGCACACTTGAAAGAGGCCGGGTTATCTGCAGAACTCCAATTAAACCCACAGGCTTTGATAATTTGATAAGCCACTCCACAGTCGCCCCAGAGTCAAAACACGCTGTTACTTGATCCCGTGTTTATGTTCAGGATGGCGGCCTGGGAAGGTGCAAGCAGGTCTGAGAGGGAGGGGAACCAGGCACGAGGCTGACAGAGTATCAGCCCGCCAGCCCAGGCTTCACCTCCAGGGCTGGGCTCTCATGGGGGCACAATCTCCAGCGGAACATGGGCCTCTCGTGGCAGGCCCTGCAGGCGGAGTGAGGCCAGGGGAGGAGAAGCCACCTCTGGAGGCAGCTCTAACCCCCCTGCAGAGCCTCAGGCCTGCTTGGACCTGGAGGGGTGGCTGTTCTCAGGCCGTTTCTTGCCAGACCGATTGTGAACCAGCCTAGGCGACGGATACCTCCTCAAGAAACAGGCAGATAGCCCCGTTGCCGTGGTGGCTTGGAGGCCCGATGCTTTACACCTGAAAAGGCCAGGCTGTGGTCTGCAGAGGCAGAGCATCCACATCCCGCTCTGTTCCACAGCCTTCCTCAGACAAAACTGGGAGCAGCCCTGTGTGCCAGTGGTGCCGGCCGGGTTACCTCAGTGCACAGTACTCCGTAAGCCCCCTTGGCCTCTCTGAGATACGAATTACCTCATTTTAGGGAAATACAGAAAGGCATAGAGGTTGAGCAATGTGGGAGATCACGGAGGTGGGTGGCAGGTCCTGAGCCGGGAGCCGGGCCCTGCAAAGCCAGGCCCGCTGCCTCACCAGTACCCAGTGAGGTACCCAGTCTCCCTGAGCCTGGTTGGCACCATTCCTCTAGGCGTCTTCAAACTACGGCCCGCGGGCCACATGCGACCCGCAGAGGAATCTGATCCGGCCCGCCAGGTTTTTTGGGCAGTGAGCGCAGCCGAGGTGTTACAGTAGGAATTAGTAGTTCATATAGTCCGGCCCTCCAGCTCTCTGAGGGACCGTGATCTGGCCCCCACTTTAAAAAGTTTGAGGACCCCTAGAGTCTAGGGCCTTGTGGAGACAGGCGAAAGGCTCACCTGCCATTAGTGCGCAGACTGACGGGTCATCTAAGGCCTGTTTGCCCAGCTGACTGGCAGAGAGTGGGGTTGAGGGGCACAGAGCAAAGGCAGGGTCCGTTGATTTGGTAGTGATACACCTGCTGCTTCACCCACCAGCCATGTCCCTCACGAGTGACTCCAATCAATGGCAACCCTCCCCGAAAGGATTCTCTCTCTCCCCATGGAAGGAAGGAGAACAGGAGGTTCCGAGAGGTTGTCCCAGTTGGGGGACAGCAGAGCCAGGCAAGGACAGACACGGCTGGTCTTAGAGCCTACGTCTGCCTGGGGAGAGTGACTGGCAGGGGAGCACAAAGAGCAGGACAGAGAGGGCACAACGAGAGGCACCAGGCCCACCTCCTGGTCCCCCAACTCCACCCCAGGTCAGGAAGGCAGGAGGAGTGGAAAGGCTATGGGCCTCTGTATGACATCAGCAAATTGTGGGCTCACGTCCCAGCTTCAGCTGTGAGCCTCGGTTTCCTTATCTGAGAGGGAGGGGGCAGGGGGCTCAGGATGTAGAGCTCCCGGTGCAAACTCTCTCACGAGCCTGGCATGTAGCAGGTACAGGGAGAGCGGTGTCCCCCCCTCTGGAGCGAACACACATTTGTAACTCGTTTTGTTGTCTGCCAAGCTGCTGCCCAGCCCTCGCGTCCTCTGAGTTTCACAGGCAATCCTGGGGGTAGCAAGGGCGGGGCTCAATCGCTACCCCTCTGTACAGATGAGACAAGAGCGGCTCAGGAAGTGGCATGGCTCGCAGGCAGCGAAGGAGGGCTGTGAACGCAAGACTCTGCGTCCTATTCCGGTGGGTCTCCACTAACGACTCCACATTGTGAGCCAAGTCACTGCTGGATTTTTGAAGGTCTGAACCTGTGCTTGTTTCTCAAGCCTGTGGCAGCCAGCAAGGTAGACGGCCACGGTCAGGCCAGGTGAGCCTCTGAGCCGGACAATGCTTTTTCCTCCCTCAAGGGTCCAGGCCACCTTGGGCTTGGTCTTACAGCTCGAATAAGGAAAAGGGCCCCTGTTGGCTGGACTGCTGTGCAGGTGTGCGGGCTGTGCACTCCACAACCTCCCTGGGCACCACTCACAGGAAGTGCGGTAGGAATGGCACCCCTGGGGTTGTGCGACACACGCTCTGGCCTCCAGGATTTCTCCTCCCCATCGCCACGTGGCACCTGCCTCTCCCACACCTGCCTCTCCCACACCTGCGTCTCCCACACCTGCCTCTCCCACAGGAGCATCCGGAGCTGCCACTTACTCTTTCGGAGGGTTGACATCTTCGGGTCGGGCCTCAAAGAACTGAAAGACTTCATCGCACTGTGAAATGTGGGGAGGCAGCCGGACAAGCGCCTGTGGGAAGATGGGAGAAAGGGCATTAGGCCTGATGAAACTTGGACCAGGAAAACCACAACCAGGGTCCATGTGGGCCAACAGTGATTGGGAGGGAGGGGGGGTGGCTCAAAAACTGGGCTGAGGAAGGTCATTAACTAGCCACCCACCATCCTACCAGACAACTAGACCACAGATTAACCAATCAGTCAATCAATAAAACAACTCTCCCTCTGTCCATCCACCCCATCAACCAACCATCCAGCCCATGAATCACTACTAACCAACCAGCCAAGCAATAAAAATAATGAAAAATACAGTCAACCAACCAAACAATCATCTAGCCAACAATTCAACCAACCAAACATCAACCATCCAACTAGCCAATCAAAGCAACTAAACAATCAGCCAATCAAAAGGAAACTATGATCACGGAACCCTAGGTCTCAGGGCCCTCAGGAACGACTCATTCAGCATGAACCCTGAAAGAATTCCCATGAGCCCCCAGAGTAAGTCCAAGCTCTCTAGCCTGACAATCCAAGGTTTAATTCCATCAGCCTTGTCTCCCACTAGCCACAGTCCAGCTGCACCAGGTGCCCACAGTCCCTAAACACGGGCTGCACAATGAACCATTTAGCAAGTTGATAAGTCTATCAAGGACAACAGGGTGCTACCACAGCCGGACCCCACCTGTGCAAGAATTCATGCACCAGGCCTCTAGTGAAAGAATAAATAAGGGCTCTAGTGTGCAGAAGCCCAAATAAGTGGGACATGATAATGGGGCATAAAAGCACACGCGGTCTTAGGTTGCATCAACAGAATGATTGTGTTGAGGAAGAGGGAAGTGATAGTTTTATCCTTCTCAGAGCCAATCGAGTAACAATCCAAGTGTGGCATTGAGCACGAGGCATCTTACCACATTGGCCCTTCTCAATGCCAAACCCACACCTGGGCAAGATGAGACAAGGTCCTATACCAAAACATATAAGGCAACACTACGCAACTCCAGCTGTTCCTTCTAGAGCCTGTGGCTTTCCATGGGTCTCTCACAGATCACATGAACAGCCAGGAAGCAGAAAGGAAGGGAATTTAACACTTAATAAGTAAAGACCACACGTCAGGCACTGGCCTAGGCCCCCTGACTCTCCAATGATGTGACAAAGAATGGAGGTTTTTCCATGTGTGCCTGACACGGGGCTGTGGCCTGGTACAGGGATGAGCCAGACACAGCCCTGCACCCACCACAGCACACCTGATGACGTGTTGCCCATTCTGTCCCCATGTCTCTGTGTACCCTGGGGATACCGTGCTCAGAAGGTAGGATGGGTGGATGCTGTCCCCCACAGAGTTCAAGTTTTCATTTAGCACACGTGGTATGTGCTGTTTTCTTCCCCAGGAAGGATAGAAGGAAAAGGGAAAGAAAGACTGAGGAAGAAGAGAGGAAAAGAGACAGAGAGGCCCGGCCGATGTGGCTCAGTGGTTGAGCACCAACCTATGAACCAGGAGGTCATAGTTTGGTTCCCAGTCAGGGCACATGCCTGCGTTGTGGACTCAATCCCCAGTAGGGGGCATGCAGGAGGCAGCCAATCAAGGATGCTCTCTCATCATTGATGTTTTCCTCTCTCTCTCTGCCTTTCTAAAATCAATAAAAAAAATATTTAAAAGAGAGGGGGGGCGGGGAAGAGAGAGAGAGGGAGACAGAGAGACAGGGACATGGAGAGAAGTGGGAAGCAGGCATGTGCAGACCCAGTGCTCCTAGCAGGAGGCCGGAGGGTCAGGAGGAAACACGGATGGCTTGGGATGGGGAGGAGGCAGGAGGAGCCCATTACAGGGACCTGGGCTCTGTGTGCGCAGAGTCGCTGCCAGGGTCCCCTCCCGGACAGGGACAGGGAGGGGGTGCAGGGCAGGTTTCCAGGGGCCAAGCGCTAGCACCCTCCCCGCTCAGCCCACCGCCACCCGCCAGGCGCAGAGCCCGCCGGGCTGCAGCTCGCCCAGCACCAGCGGTGAACACAGGGGCTCTTCATGCCGACACAGACCGGCATTCTGGGGGCAGAGGCCGCGTGGGCCGCGAGGGCCTCAGACAAAGGGGCCTTTTGGTGGGACCGCTGCAGACATCTTTATTTAATAGGGAGCCCCGAGGGGAGCGCATTGAGAGCTCGTCCTGATTTCAGGCCGACAAGAAGCTCTCAGCTCAGAGCAGCTTCCATCAGAGCGGCCGCCAAGCCCATCTCTGGGCCAAAATCATTTGGCAGGAGAGCCGGTGCTGAGCAGTCAGTCCTGGAGGCCTGGGCTGGGGGCGGCTGCCAGAGCCGGGGAACTCCACACCCAGCCGTCCTGAGAGGAGCAGGTAGGGCCAACAGATGGGAACTTCTGGGACGCCACCCCGGGCTCAGGCCTAAAGTTCTGCCATTGGACCTTCAAGATGCATGCCAGGGGGGAGTGAAGTGAGGGCATCGGGGCCAGGCAGACGAGGGTCTGAGTTCTGGCTGTGCCATTTGCCAGGATGCTGTGTAGTGCTGAATATATGGTTCGCCCTCTCTGAGCTCAGTGCAGTGGGTCTGGTATGGCCCCTACCTGTTCGAAGGTTAAGTGAGATCATACATATGAGGAGCCTGGCACAATGCCTGGCATCAAGCAGACGCTCAGTGAGTGTTAGCTGTGGCACTATTGTCTTCGGCGCCATTGCTCTGATGGCGAAAGCAATGATGCATCTTAGGAAGAACACTGGGAGGGGAGTCCGGGGACCTCAATTCTAGCTCCACTTCTGCCTTTCTATACTTGTTGCATGACCTTGGGCAGCTCGCCTCAATGCTCCGGTTTTCGTATCTCTTATGATAAGACAGACTGGCTCTGGAATCTCAAACTATATCTCCTGGAACACCTGTCTGAGGAGATAACATGAGTTCTGTGGGCACGTGTGAAAGGATGTTTTTAGATCCCCATCGTGGTCTTGGAAATCACCATATTCACCATCACAGCAAAGGCTCTGAGAAGTCCTGCAGGAAAGGAAACCCGCAGGGCTTTGCTAGGCCAGCATGTATTAATCATGACAACATCCTGGGGACCGCCTCACTGAATCATCACATTAAGCCCGAGGTAGGTATGAACACGATTCCAGGTCCCCATTAGGACAAACTAAGGCACAGAGAGGTTAAGTAATTGCCCAAGGCCACACAGCTACTAAGCAGCAAAGCTTTTAAATGGGGCCGCCTAGACCAGAGCCTACGCTCTGTCTGATCTACTTCTCTCTACCGCCTCCACCATTACCCACAGGTCTCTCTGACTGTAGGGCTGGTTTTCCTAGCGATTCCCACTGACGGCCCCGGGAACGCAGTGGGGGCAATTCCAGACTAGAGACACTCTGAAGGTTCTTCCCACTGCAACAGCCAGAGGCTCCAGGACTGTACCTCGCACCACTATCAGTGACGTCAGGGTCAGTTCTATCAATCAGTCTCCCTGAGCCTTTCTAAGAGCTTGGACTCCGGTGAGGTTGGAGGGTCGGAAGGCCCCCTGGAGGGAGAAGGGCTGGAATGGCCTCAGAGCCCTCAGCATCCAGGGAGGGGCCACTGTCCCGTGGGGCCGCTTAGAACATGCAGGATGTCAGCTGAGCTAACGTCAGTCCCCATCCAACCTTGGCGTCCTGCGGTCCAGGGGGTGGGCGAGCTGGCTGGCAGCACATCTGGAGAAGCAGGGGGAGGGGAGGGGCTGAGGCAGTGGCGCCTAGGCACTCAAGAGCCATCCAGGTGTGCCCACCAGCCAGTTCTTCCGGGGCCTCCCTCCCCCGGGCCTCACCTGCCCTGAAGTCCCCAGCTCCTGGCCCCGGAGGGAGACCATTTCCTGGGAGCCAGTGGCACGGGCCACCACCTGGCAACATGTCACCATTCCGGATGGTGCAGATTCAGGAAAGGGAAGAGGGTGGCCGCACTGTCTGTCTCTGAGACCCCCTCCCAGGGACGCGGACCCGAGCCTGGTCTTTGCAAGCGGAGCAGCGTGGGAGGGGACCCTGGCCAGGCTGTGTTCAGACCATCTGCTCCGAAATGAACCCCCTCCATGAAGCCCACTGCGCTGGGTAACGACTGTCTCAGGACCAAAAGCAAAGTTCTGCATTGAGCAAAACAAGGTGTGTGCCCTGCTCTTGCCCCGGGATCATTCATTTTCCTCCCCCCGCACCCCCCCTGCCCAGGCCAGGCATTCTGGGTGTCAGCACCCACCGACCGACAGACCGTCTAACCGACCCACCAACAGACAGACCCAGGGTCTGGCCCATAAGGACCCACTGGGAACCCCAAGTCACGTCCTGGGAGGCGGGAAGCAGGAGGCAAACATGCCGCATGTTTGGTTCTACCCCCTAAAAGGCACTGGAAAAAGTCGGGGTTTCAGAATTCCCTCCCATGTGGGGTGACAAGGGTTCCCACTCAGAGGAGCCTGTGGGCTGAGGCACCCACCCCACCCACCTGGGTGCTGGTCCCGGGGCCCAGGCAGGAGGGCGGGCAGACCCTAGGAGAATGGGAACTGGGAAGGAGGGTTGGATGAAGAGATGCCAGGGGATTCCAAAGGCCTTCCAGCCGGGTGGGATGGGAGCCTCGTGGACGGGATTGAAATCTGCTGCTGTGCCAGCCAATCCATGATCCTTAAGTCTTCAGCCTTCTACCTCTCCCTGAAACAGACCAGAGGCGCGTGTGGCAGCTTCTCTCCCCCCATTTTCCTCTCTTTATCAGCATCATTTTGGTTTCTAATCAATGGACTTCTCTAGGGAAAAGCCCAGGGACCCCGTCACAGGGTTTGGAGTTCTGCGCATCTGGCCCCCACTCCTGCCCCCATCCCCACTCCTGGGGCTCCTCTATCCTGCCCAAAATGTTCCTTCTAGGAAGGAAGCTGGGTGCTCACAGAATTTCTGTAAATCAAACACAGGAGTTCTCTTTTTAAAGGATTTAGGCAGCAAATCCCTTGAAACGGAAATAGCGTCTAATTTGCGGCTGCAGTGTAAGCCATTTCACAAGGGACCCTAGTGCATCGGGCCG